TCAGCAAATTGGGCTGCTTCCCCGCGTTTGGGGGGTGAAGAGTTGTGGCCCCGGGTGAAACAACCCCATTTCGTAACTTCAGTTACTATCTCCCGTTCAATGCGCGTCTTTCAAATGCAGGTGGCACTTTGATACGCTTTTTATTTACTCTGAATATTCAGGTCATTTTATTTAATGACTGAAAGCCATTTAAAATGCTTTTCCCAGCCCATTTTGCATGAAGCTCCTTGTTCCTTCAAAAACCAAATATGTTTTGTAGACGCGTGGGATGCCTGTGGGAACACGAAATAGTAATCTGGCAAAATAAGCACCGAGGTAAAGGACTTGTTGGGTAAGTGAGGTGTGGTGTGGTGTGTGACTTAGCGAGGGGGGAGTCATCCAACACCCAGGCTGGATTTGCCTGCGGATCAACGCATGTTGGTGCTTTTCAGCTGAACGAGGATGAACTGGATTTTAGGAAAACAGCTTTGAAAAGGCAGAAGAGTCGCTCGGATGTCGCAGGGTGTCTTTGCTGGATTCCAAGCCTTGGTGCTCAGGAACTGTCATGACCTTGCTTTGGGCCGGGAGCCTCTCGGGCAGAGGCTGAAGCTGCCCGGGGGCTGTCGCATGAGGTTTGCCAGCAGAGGAGGAGTAAGATGAGCTGAGCCTGAGATTCTGCTGTGAACACCGGGCTGCTCGTTGCTTAGAATAGCTACAAGGCAAGTGCAAGCCTATCTTGGAGGTGCCTCCAGTGCTGTCTCCTGGAGGTGGGGGTGTGTGGGCTGGGGCAGCTCTGGGTGTACCATGGCTGGCCCTGCCGAGATGCTGCAGGGCACCGGTCCCTGCCCTGCGCAGAGGCTTTGAGGCTGGGTACAGCCCTTCGGTTCAGCTCTCTGTGACCTGTAACTCTCTGAAGGTGAGCTCAGGCCATACTGGTGGCCCTCAAAGTCCCAGGGGGAACACAGTCAGGAGTTCCTTCATTGTGTCAGTCTCTCCCTATCTTCTTTCTGATCTGTTCTGAGCAGCCTCTTTTTACCTCCTTTCACCTTCTACCATTTCTCTGTATCCCCTGCTTGTTCCCCGCTCCCTGGGTTGGGCTGGACCATGGGGTGAGGTTGGGTAATGCCCCCTTCATCCCCCTGCAGCAGTACCATCCCACCTTGCCTGTGAACGTGATGCTGAGCGCCCAGGACACCTGCGTGATGGGGCCCATCAGTCACGGGCTGTTGCTTCTGCTGCATGGCTGAAGAAGCGCATGAGTGTTTCTTGCTTGATGCAGCATTGGATGAGGCTTTGCCTGGGACTCATGTGCCAGGTTTTCCCTCTCTGGAAAGGGAGGTTTTCAGCCCTGCAGAGGACTGGGGGATACTGGTGAGTGACAAATG